CCTGAAAACAAGTTTAGGAGAGGGCCTCTCGATGCTGAAAGGGTTAATATTGTTTATTATGTCATATTAGATGAATTATGTTAGATAAATAAGCTGTGGAGTTGATATTAGTGTTGTATTGAAGCACATTGTCCTGTCTCCAATAATAAACTCGCCTCCCTCTCCTCTCCTCCGAGTCTGTCATACACCAACAAAAGTCTTTAATAAAGGTAAGTGTGATGTTAAATGTTCATTTATACATTTTATTAGTGCTTTATATTTATTTGTCATACTTTTCTGCATGTAAATCTATATTTAAGCTAAAAAAAATTTTTTTTTTTAATACTTTTGGGTGTCTGAAACAGATTAATTGATTACATTATTTCTTATTGGGAAAATGGTTTCAGGTTTTGCTGATTTCCCTTTTCGCCAGTCTCTCTGGAACAGATTAAACAGGAAAACTGAGGGTCCACTGTATATCATATTTCAAATGTTTAACCACAACTCAAAACTAAATTCCTTTATAAGGGTAAACCATAACTCAGAATGTTATGGGTGTGTGTAGAGGTAGTGAGCAAGTTAGTAGTAGTCCAGGATATCATAAATTGATGTAGACTAGTTTGTGGTTTATTGAGAAGGTAGATTCTCCAGGCAGACAGAGTAAGGGTGAGTCTAGAGCTGAGTCCAAGGGGGAAAGAGGTGATGTCTTCAGGGTAGCTGTCGTGAGAGTGAGGGAGACGCCTGGAGGCACAGGCTCACTCCAGCCTTGGCCTCCTGGCGGGGGCTGTCGGAAACAGGCCTAGCAGTCATTATGAAATTACAGGGTAGGAATACCATAACAAAAAATATCATGACTCTCATTACTCAAGGGGCGACTGTGTAGTGTTACAGCTGGGGTAATGTTTACTCTGACCAGCAGGTGGCAGTACCTATTGGGCTCAAATTTCACATCAGCATTTAATTTTTGCCATCTTGCGTAGAAGTGCAATATAATTAACCCTTTGACTGTCGCGGTCGTATATGTACGTCATAGGAGATACCGTGTTTGACGTATCTATACGCATAAATTCTAGCGGCTTCAAATCAAACAGGAGAAAGCTGGTAGGCCCACATGTGAGAGAATGGGTCTCCATGGTCAGTGTGCACCATATAAAAAAAATCGGGGAGCCAGTGGTGCATTGTGGGAATACCATTTCAGTCGTCCTTTTTCAGCATGTCTAGCGGTAAGAGATATGTGACTTCCCAGCAAATCTGGGACTCTTCTCTTCCCAAGTGATGCTCTAAGACAGATGGAAGTGTCAATGAAGATCAATTCATGATTTCGAGGAGTTTGAGACCAAATGCAATGGAGGAGGAGGAAGAAGAGGAGGAGGAGGAGAGGAAGAAGAGGAGGAGGAAGAGGAAGAAGAGGAGGAAGAAGAGGAGGAGGAAGGAAGAGGAGGAAGAGGAAGAAAGGAGAGGAAGGAGGGAGAGGGGGGAGAGGAAGGAGGGAGGAGGAAGGAGGGAAGGAGGAAGGAGGGGGGAGGAGGTGGAAGGGGGAGGAGGAGAAGGAGGGAGGGAGGAGGAAGGAGGGAGGAGGAGGAAGGAGGGAGGAGGAGGAAGGAGGGAGGGAGGAGGAGGAAGGTGGAAGGAGGAGGAAGAACAAGAAGAAGAAGAAGAAGAAGAAGAATAAGAATAATAAGAATAATAATAATAATAACACCTAATACCTAATAATAATAATATGTAATAATATGTTCCCTTGAGGCATGAAAACAGTTCACCCCATGACAGTGACAAGATAAGGGGAGATAACATCTGATAAGAGCTGACCTTTGATGAGCGTAAACGAGGGTGGAGGGAAGGGGTCAGCTGTCCATCTGTCAAGAGCCAGGAGGAGGAGGAGGAGGAGGAGGAGGAGGAGGAGGAGGAGAAGGAGGAAAGAGGAGGAGGAGGAGGAGAAAGGAGGAGGAGGAGGAGAAGGAGAAGGAGAAGGAGAAGGAGAAGGAGGAGGAGGAGGAGGAGGAGAAGAAGATGACGACGAACAAACATTTGTCTGTCTGCCAAACTCACTGTCTATCCGTCTAGCTCTGTCTCAGAGAGAGCCACAAGACTGTGTCATCATCACGTTTACTCACATCTTCAAGCAGAGTATAGCACTTTGTCTGGATTTTTTGGGTTATCCTAGGTAATTTACACTATGTATAGTTGTATTTATGTGTACCTGTGAGACAGAGATAGACAGAGAGAGAGAAAGAGAGACAGATTGAAAGAGATAGAATGAGGGAGAAAGATAATTAGATAGAATGGAGGGGGAAGCAGCATCGGACCCCATTGTTTTGACAGGCGGTAGGGGGAGTGAGTAATGAGACAATATGTCATTTAGACAGCTGCCGACTCCTGACTCAAAACAATTATAAGCCACACACTCGCACACAAGACAAGCTTGCTGAAGGGTGATAATAGCAGTTTTATGAAAGTATCTAGTGACTATATATGTGTATATATATTATAGAAACCAGAAGCAAGAAGGGAAGGCAGGAATGAAGGAAGGACTAGATGAAAGGAAAGAAAAAAGTAATGAAGGACAGATGAAGGAATGTAGGAAGAGAGGTGGAATGCCCTCCAGGTAGCCTCCAGGTAGGAAAGGAATGAAGGAAATTAGGAAGGAAGGAATGATGACACACGACCATTTACCTAGGATAACTACATAACACAACTGCCTGCTAATACTTTGAAGACAACTGCTCAGAGGAGGTGTTTTGTCTTTGCACATAAAAAAAACTTCAACAAAAATGCGCACACACTGATTTTATGTGTGAGAGTGTAAAACACCATTGTGTATGACACCATGTTTTATGTGTGTGGAGTGTAAAACACCATTGTGTATGACACCATGTTTTATGTGTGAGGAGTGTAAAACACCATTGTGTATGACACCATGTTTTATGTGTGAGGAGTGTAAAACACCACTATGTATGACACCATGTTTTATGAGTGAGGAGTGTAAAACACCACTGTGTATGACACCATGTTTTATGAGTGAGGAGTGTAAAACACCACTGTGTATACATGTTTTAGAGTGAGGTGAAAACACCACTGTGTACAATTTATTATGTGTGAGAGTGTAAAACACCACTGTGTATGACACCATGTTTCACAGAGTTCCACAAGCTACAGAACTTCTAGGAATATATTCAGTGACTGTATATTGGTATATATATTATAGAACAATAGTAATAAAAAATTTTTTGTATTGTTTGTTTTTGTAAACAAGTTTTGTAAACAATATATTGATAATTATGTTTGTGTGCTTATTGTGTTGTATACAACGAGTGTATATATGTACATTGCACCTTACTTTGGTCTCACAGGCCACATAAGTTATGTGAAAAATAAAATAGTGAAAAAAACAACAAACCTTCAAATACAAGTAAACTAAAGTTTACCGGGTGAGCGGCAGTCGCCGCTGTTGCCATACGCGGCTCATTTTCTGCAAACTTCATGCCTCTATATCTCGGTAAGTACTGATGGGAAAATTTTTTTGGGGGGACTAAAACAATCAGAAAAATAAACTTAACATTTTCATAAGAAAAAATAATTTTTTTTTTTTTCGAATATTTTGCGACACCAGGAGACACTTCAAGATTGGGCCTTTCGACAGTCAAAGGGTTAATACAGAAATTTGACTGTTAGTCACACATACATAACTTAAGCATTTGCATACTTAAAAATCAAATACAGCATTAGTAAAGCAATGACTTATTGGTTGATTGTGAATCACACACATATGACTTAAGTATTTGTATAGTTAAAATAAAAACCAGATACAACATTAGTAAGGTGATAACTTACAAGTTGACAGTGAATCACACATGTAACTTAAAGATTTGTATGGTTAAAATTTAAATCAGATACATCATTAGTAAGGTAATGATTTCTTGGTTAACTTATTGGCAGACAGTGAATGACACATGTGACTTAAGAATTTGAATAGTTAACCCTTTCATTGTCGAGACCCCTGCTTGCAAACTTGCACTCAGTGTTAAAGAATTTAAAAAAAAAAAGAAATCTTATGAAATGATAATCTTTTCCCAATGGTAATGAAACCAAAAGTACAAAATTTGATGGAAAGCTTATGGAATTACACTCTTGTGAAGTTAGCAGTCTTGCCAAGTTGAGCATAATTTTCAGCCAATTTCATTGTTCCAGTTGATCAATCTCATAACTATTTTGCTAGAGCTCCTTTGGTAATTTGGCCAATTTCATACAAAATTCAAGGAAGGGCAATTTGAAAATAGGGTCCAGAATTAACAATGCAAATATTCCTTGGATTAAAATAACATTTTCTCTGTTCATTAGTAATGTCTCCAGGCTCCTCTTATAATATACTTGCCTTCCATTTTGGATTTTTATTCACACAAAAAATAGAAGATTTACTGTTATGCAAACTACTGCATTATTGTAAAAATTGTATAAATAATATCAGTGCATTTGTGAAAGCATATTAGACCCGCCAATTGATGTGTGTATTGGATGTGAGACGTGATTTGTTTACTCTTGAACATCAGCAAAAATCGAACATTTCTGCTAATTTGAACTGTTTTTCAAGTTACTACTTTCAGTCTGTAAACTTTTTAAAATTACCTTTATTTCTGTAATATACTTTCCATTCTATCAAATGAGACGAAGAAAACGAAAATACATCCATAAATACCATACAAAAATACACCACAAAGTTGCTGTTTTAAGCCAAAAGCACTGTCGCTGTTTTATTTTATCATTATGCACTGCATGCTATAAGAGTTTTTTATACTGCACACACTGACCACTCAGACCCATTCTCTCATATGTAGGCCTACCAGCTATCTCCAACAAGAATGGAAGTCACTAGAATTTTGGCGTAGCATTACGGGACCAACACTGGCTTACAAGCTTTAATATTACGGGACTGACAGTGAAAGGGCCAAAATTAAAATCAGATACATCATTAGTAAGGCAATAACTTATTTGTTAAAACAGTTTGTCTCATGTCTTTGCAGCTTGGTACTCCAGGTTGTGTATGGAAGTGTTTCATTGTCTGGCTCAAGAGAAGCATCCAGAGGTCCAGGTTTGAAGGACATCCCTGCGTGGCTCTGGTTGATGGCCTTCATATGGCCCTTCGTCCTCATTCCCCTTAATGAAGTCATCAAAAGAAGAGAAATTAGGTCAGTCAAGTTAGGGTTAATCAACACTGTAACTAGCATGTTGCATCAGGTATTGCACAAAAGCAGCAGGAAGTGAAGGTCTGCACGAGGATGAGGAAGTGAAGGTCTGCACGAGGTTGAGGAAGTGAAGGTCTATACGAGAGTGAGAAAGTGAAGGTCTGCACAAGGGTAAGGAAGTGAAGGTCTACACAAGGGTGAGGAAGTGAAGGTCTGCACAAGGGTGAGGAAGTGAAGGTCTACACAAGGGTGAGGAAGTGAAGGTCTGCACACGGGTGAGGAAGTGAAGGTCTACACAAGGGTGAGGAAGTGAAGGTCTACACAAGGGTGAGGAAGTGAAGGTCTGCACAAGGGTGAGGAAGTGAATGTATATACAAGGGTGAGGAAGTGAAGGTCTGCACAAGGGTGAGGAAGTGAAGGTCTGCACAAGGGTGAGGAAGTGAAGGTCTGCACAAGGGTGAGGAAGTGAAGTCTACACAGGTGAGAAGTGAAGGTCTGCACAAGGGTGAGGAAGTGAAGGTCTGCACAAGGGTGAGGAAGTGAAGGTCTGCACAAGGGTGAGGAAGTGAAGGCCTATATGAGCATGAGGAATTGAAAGTCTGTATGAGCATGAAGAAGTGAAAGTGTGTGAGCGTGAGGAAGTGAAAGTGTGTGAGCATGAAGAAGTGGGGTAAAGTCTGCACAGAGGGAAGAGGGGAACAAGTCTGCACAGAGGGAAGAGGGGAACAAGTCTGCACAGAAGGAAGAGGGGAACAAGTCTGCACAGAGTGAAGAGGGGAACAAGTCTGCACAGAGAGAAGAGGGGAACAAGTCTGCACAGAGTGAAGAGGGGAACAAGTCTGCACAGAGGGAAGAGGGGAACAAGTCTGCACAGAGAGAAGAGGGGAACAAGTCTGCACAGAGTGAAGAGGGGAACAAGTCTGCACAGAGGGAAGAGGGGAACAAGTCTGCACAGAGAGAAGAGGGGAACAAGTCTGCACAGAGTGAAGAGGGGAACAAGTCTGCACAGAGAGAAGGGAACAAGTCTGCACAAAGAGAAGAGGGAACATGTCTGCATAGAGGGAAGAGGGGAAAAAGTCTGCACAGAGAGAAGAGGGGAACAAGTCTGCACAAAGGGAAGATGAGAACAAGTCTGTACAGAGGGAAAACAGGAACAAGTTTGCACAGAGGGAAGAGGGGAATAAAGCTGCACAGAGGGAAGAGGGGAACAAGTCTGCACAGAGAGAAGATGGGAACAAGTCTGCAAAGAGGGACGAGCAGAACAAGTCTGCACAGAGGGAAGATGGGAACAAGTCTGCACAGAGGGAAAACAGGAACAAGTCTGCATGGAGGGAAGACGGGAACAAGTCTTCACAGAGGGGAGACGGGAACAAGTCTGCACAGAGGGAAGACAGGAACAAGTCTGCACAGAAGAAAGAGGGGAACAAGTCTGCACAGAGGAAAGAGGGGAACAAGTCTGCACAGAGGGAAGAGGGGAATAAATCTGCAGAAGAAGTGGGGATAATTTCTTGAGACTGACATTTCTTTCTCATTATTAGTGAATTAATATTAGTGAATTATTATTAATGAATTATTATTAACAAATCATAATTAGTGGATCATGATTAGTGAATCATTATTAGTGGATCATTATTAGTGGATCATTTTACTGGATCAAAATTATTGGGTCATAATTTTTTTTTCAACAACCCGGCCGTATCCCACCAAGAAGAAAAAGAGTCTTTTTTAATTTTAGTACAGTGGAACCCCGAGTATCAGCCACTTCGAGTTTCGACTGTTTTTTCAGCCAAATTTTGTCCCAAGTTTCGGCCGTTGCCCCGAGTTTCAGCTGTTGCCTTGAGTTTTGGCTGGCATACCAGATCTGTCCACCTGCCTGTGCTTGCGTGCCTCCCCACACAGGTGTCATGAGCCAGTCTAGCATTCTTTACCCTTGAGTGAACATTACCCTGCATGCTCATCCTGCCAGCCAGGCAGCCATCCATCCATCCAACCAGCCAGCCAGGCAGCCAGCCAGGCAGCCAGCCAGGCAGCCATCCATCCATCCAACCAGCCAGCCAGGCAGCCAGCCAGGCAGCCATCCATCCATCCAACCAGCCAGCCAGGCAGCCAGCCAGGCAGCCATCCATCCATCCAACCAGCCAGCCAGCTAGGCACCCAGCCAGGCAAGCAACCGGGCAGCCGAACATTTCACAATAAATTCATTGTGTTTAGTGCTTCTTCATTAATTTTGACTGTGAAATAAGCCACCATGGGCCTAATTTCCATGTTCCATTGTAGGGAAATCTTAAAGAGATGCCAGAAACAGTGCACTCTTGACAGTTATTTTGTGCAACAGGGGTCCAGTGACTCTCAAGCTGGTCCTAGTGGCATTAAAAGACAAAGAAGGGAAGTAACCCCACAGCGGGCTTTGATACCTGAAGTCCTTATGGAAGGGGATTCCCCTTCCAAACACTTTCCCTTCCAATGCACCACTCACTTTTTTTTCCTTCATCAACTCTCTGATTAACCTCAACCTTCATAAATCCATCCACTGACACGTCAACTCCCAAATATCTGGAAATATTTACTTCTTCCTTACTCCTCTCCAATTTGATATCCAATTTTTCATTATCTAAATCATTTGATACCTTCATCACCTTACTTCTTTCTCTTTTCACTTTTAACTGTCTACCTTTACACACTCCCAAACTCGTCCACTAACCTTTGCAATTTTTTTTAGAATCTCCCATAAGCACATTATCGTCAGCAAAAAGTAACTGTGTCAATTCCCATTTTGTATTTGATTTCCGATAATTTAATCCCACCCCTCTCCCGAACACCCTAGCATTTACTTCTTTTACAACCCCATCTATAAATATATTAAACAACCATGATGACATTACACATCCCTGTCTAAAACCTACTTTTACTGGGAAATAAGAACATAAGAAAGGAGGAACACTGCAGCCAGACTGTTGGCCCATACTAGGCAGGTCCTTCACAATCCATCCTGCTAACAGAATATTTGCCCAACCCAATTTTCAGTTCTACCCAAAGAACAAGCTTTGATAATTCTATTTACCCATGTGCAAGTCCCACTCAAATCCAACCCCTCTCATGTATTTATCCAACCTAAATTTGAAACTACCCAAGGTTTTAGCCTCTATAACCCTACTAGGCAGACTGTTCCACTCATCATCAACCCTATTTCCAAACCAATACTTTCCTGTATCCTTTCTAAATCTAAACTTGTCTAATTTGAATCCATTACTGCAGGTTCTCTCTTGGAGGGATATCCTCAAGACCTTATTTATATCCCCTTTGTTGATACCCATTTTCCACTTATACACTTCAATCATGTCTTCCTTCATTCTTCTTATAACAAGTGAATGTAATTTAAGGGTCTTCAGTCTTCATAAGTAAGATTTCTAATGCTATGTATTAATTTAGTCATTTATTTTTATTGAATTTATGTCCATTCTGTAATATGGAGACCAGAACTGAGATGCATAATCTAGGTGAGGCCTTACTAATGATGTATAAAGCTGTAATATAACCCCTGAACTTCTGTTGCTTACACTTCTTGATATAAATTCCAGTAATCTGTTTGCCTTATTACGTACGCTTAGGCATTGCTGTCTTGGTTGAAGGTTAGTGCTTATCATAACCCCCAAGCCCTTTTTGCAATCTGAATGGCTAAGTTCTACATTATTTAACTTATAAGTGTTATGGTTATGGACACTTTTGAGCTTCAGAACCTTGCATTTATCTACATTGATCTGCATCTGCCACTTTTCTGACCAGGTATTAAGTTTGTCTAAATCCTCCTGAAGTTCCCTGATATCTACATTTGAATCAGTTATCCTACCTATCTTTGTGTCCTCAGCAAATTTGCTAATATCACTTGTAATTCCCTCATCAAGATCATTGATATATATTATAAACAACATCAGCCCCAAGACTGTTCCCTGTGGAATGCCACTTGTTACAGATTCCCACTTGGATTTAACCCCATTTATGCACTCCCTCTGCTTCCTGTCTGTGAGTCATGACTCGATCCATGAGAGCACTTTTCCCCCAATGCCATGGGCTGCCACTTTCTTTAACAGTCTTTGGTGCAGTACTCTATCAGAAGCCTTACTAAAAGCTAAATAAAAACTATCAAATTCTTTATCGTGATCAGCAGCCTCGAAAGGTTTACTGAAGAAAGTTAATAAATTAGTTAGACAAGAACGGCCTCTCGTGAATCCATGCTGAGTGGCATTAATCAGATTATGCTTATCCAGATGGCTTCTTATAAACTCAGCTATAATTGACTCTAGCAACTTGCTTACAATTGAGGTCAGGCTTATTGGGCAGTAATTTGACAGTAACGACTTGTCTTCTGTTTTAAAAATAGGAATTACATTAGCCATCTTCCACATATCAGACACTACACCTATTTGAAGAGATAAATTAAAAATATTAGTTAATGGTTCACAGAGTTCCGTTTTGCATTCCTTATGAACCCTTGAAAAAAAGCTCATCAGGTTCTGGTGACTTATTTTGCTTCAGTCGGTCTATTTGCTTCATAACCATTTCACTAGTGACTGTGATGTTACATAATTTATCTTTTTCAGGCCCACAATAAAAATTAATTACTGGGATATTGTTAGAGTCTTCCTGTGTAAAAACCGAGAGAAAATAATTATTTAAAATCGGACACATTTCGATCTCTTTGTCAGTAAGATGCCCATAGTTATTTTTAAGGGGACCTATCTTATCTCTAACTTTTGTTCTATACACCTGGAAAAAACTTTTTGGGTTAGTTTTTGAATCCCTAGCAACTTTAATTTCATACTCCCTTTTAGCTGTTCTTATCCCCTTTTTAACGTCCCTCTTAATGTCAATATACTGATTCATAAGATGACCATCAACTCCTTTGATATGTCTATAAATTCCATTCTTCTGCTCTAAAAGATATTTGAGCCTATTATTCATCCATTTTGGGTCATTTTTATTCGATCTAATTTCTTTATATGGGA